TCAGTTAGATTCATGATTAGTATCAGCTGTGTTAGATTTTGTTGAGGGAGAATGAATGTACAGTTTTAACATCACTCAGACACAAGTTTGCCTGTGTTTGTGTGTCCACATTGATTGTCCTAAGGGGTATTTTCATAAACATGGCATAATTCCTCCTCTCTCTCTCCATTAGCTCAAGGCCTGGAGCAGACTGCCAACCTCCATTCCATTAAGAGGACAAAGAAAAGAGGGTGAATGAGAGAACAGAGTGATATGCACAGAGACAAAGCTGCAAGGATGAAAGGGAGAAATAAAGAGATACAGTTCAGAGTAGACAGAGTATGAATTAGTTATCTTCAATTAATCTATATTCTTTGACACGATCTCTCCATATGTTAGTACAGGAGTTTATGAAACCATAGTGGAATTCAGAGTTAGGAACACTACCGAATGGATGAACAATACACAGATGTCCAAAAACCAAACACGGTCATTTGACCTTAGTGTAATATCTGTAAATTACATTTTCATTCTCTGTGATATTGTATTGTCATTTCGCAATAATATTGGTAATGTCTTTGTGGGGAAGATCTAATAGTGATTTCCCAGGGGGACATTTTTATTGCACCATTCAAAATTGATCAACAGTCCTGCAAATGAATAAATAGGAGTATTGCTTACTTTAAAGCAGTGGTTCTCAGCCTTTTTGACTCTCTATCCAACACAATACTCAAAGCACACCCACCCATTAACCAGGATTCATTTTTGTGATTTCAGACATTTCAGAAATTATATGTTCATCAATAAGAACAATATATTGAGATTATTATTATTATTAGATTATTGTAATGTATTAGTAAATATAACATCTCACCATTATGGTGTTTCAAACTTGTTTGAGGATATTTTTCAAATGGCACATAACAAAGTTTTTGGTAAATTTTAGTGCTTGATAGATGTGGTCACTGTGAGTGTTGTATGGAAATGTGTAAAGATTATTTGAAGATTTTATGTTCCACATATAAAAATATAGTTTTTAAGTAAACTATTCCTTTTTGTGTTTGAGGTCACAAGTTCAAATCCTGGTTTACTGGAAATGTTATTGATAAACTTTGTCAGTAGAGGTATATCAGAAACTGAGGCTTTTATTTTGGTATTTCTAGCTAAGTTAACATGCAATCAAATAATCCATTAGTGCTCGCCTCAATCGGTCTGACTGAGCTCGATCAGAATGAAATTGTAGATTGAAATCAGATTGGATGGGGTGGTGTAGACCTGAAATAATCTGATCAATAGGAATAAGCATGTAAACCAAAATGTTTCTCTATCTGATTTAAAAATACCTTGCATTTGCAGTGCCGCATGTGTACGTTTTACGTCTTACATCTTACAAATGTTTTTTTTTTTACAACTTACAAACTGGCCAGTAGTTGAAAACGGAATATTTACTAAATATTGCTTTTAAAAAACGGATCTTCTGACATACAGTAGTATCAGCTTTCTTTTTAGATATATCAAAAATTTCAATTATACTCACGGTAGCTCTGGTGACATTATCGTGTTGGATTTATTTATACTTCTGAACGCGGAATACATGTTATGCACATGTAAATGAATATGTCAATCAGACTGCAAAGTTTAGGGTTAACATAATATTTATTTATAGGGTTAATATTTAGGGTTAATATAAGCAGAACTTTCAGAATCTGAAATCAGATTGGATACGTTCGGATTGACGAAAATTAGTGCATGTAAACATATGAAACATGCCAATTTCTATCATCTTGAAGTGTTACACACTGCAGCGTTTCCTTTTTGTGAGATCTAGTCCTTCCTATCACTATGGTAGTTCCCAGATCTGTCCTTTATACCGAAGTCAAACACATGATTGTAGATTGGCTATGTTTCTCATTCAAGCCTCTCACAAAGTCATAAAATTCTCCATACTCTTTTCTTACCTCCTCTGGCAGCATTAGCCTGAAGTTGATAGAGCGTTAAAATGTCACTAAAGCAAAGCTGACAGTGAAGTCAAGAGTGTGTGTGTGTGTGTGTGTGTGTGTGTGTGTGTGTGTGTGTGTGTGTGTGTGTGTGTGTGTGTGTGTGTGTGTGTGTGTGTGTGTGTGTGTGTGTGTGTGTGTGTGTGTATGCGCGCGAGAGAGACAGAAGATGTTTGACACTGCAGGGGGATCACTGATGGCCATTTTCAGCCTGTCAATCTCACAAAGCCACACACATACACACACTTCACCAAACAAAAGCTTGACAGCCTGTGCTTCCAGTAGGCCTACATGTGCAGTGTCTCTCAAAGCTTAAATGTGATTGGGGGTCTGTGATTTTAGGGCTCAGAGTCTTTCAGTAATTGCTTTGCTGTAAGGGTCAGTTGATTATGGGAAAAAAATCTTGTGGAAGCCGTGTTTGATGAACAACTAATCTGCATAAATCACTTTCTCTTTACTGATGGCCTGAAGTGTCACATGGGGAGTCTATGCAATCTTTGATGTGCCTTTAGCTGTGAAGCTGGAAAGAAAAGAAGCAAGAGAGGGCGATTGAGAGTGAGTTTTCAGTATGGGTACAGAGTGGAAGTATGCATGGACTGGGGAATTACGTTTTATCCAGCATATGTGGCTTTTTGTGTCACAGAATAAGAAATGTGAATTAAATTGACTTGTCAGTATAATACAAAATTCTCCGTAAACTTGTCAAGAGTTACATGAATAAAAAGTTTAATATTGAGCAATGCTGCAGATTTGTTAAGGGTTTGCAAGTGCCCAGCATGCCATTGCAGCATGAATTAGTGGTTGGTGTTATAGGATTATTGTTTAAATGTTTCTTGACTTTATGCTGTTGTTCTTTGTCTTAAGTTTTTTTTTTTTTTTTTTTTTTTACTGTGTGGTGATGTCAATAACTCATCTTTTTCTTAATGAGGTTTGCTGATTGTCATCCAGCTTTTTTTGTTATAATTGTTGAGGTCCATGTTATCCATTTAAAACTATTGAACATACAGTAATATCTTTGCTGTGCAAAAGGTTGTCTTCTTCAGAGACAAATATTCATTATAATTTGTTGAACAATAACTATATTTATTGGCTGAATTAAACAAGGGGCATTTATTGCACAATAAGATTTTATCATGGCAATCTCAGTTATTAAAATGCATCATGTTTCCTTCATTGTTTTCATTTTCTTAATGATTGTTTTGTTAAAGTGTGTCTGTGTGGCCTTGAAGTTCTTGATATTGAGATACTTACGCACTTAATTTCATCGGTGTTATTGATTCTGCTAGTTTAAAAGTGTTTGTTTTACTGGTGTTCCCATTAAATAGCTACATCTAAATATTTGGCTGAAATGAGAGTGTGTGTAAGAGAGAGAGATTGAATAATCAGGTAGAGAACCAGTTCTAAGTTGTCATGCCCTATGTGGGAGACCTATGCCACCCATGTGACTGTCTTAACTACATCCCTTACATAAACATCATTACCACAAATAGACACACATGCAGGAGGAAATGGAAGTCCTCTGGTCCAGATGATATCATTACACTAAGTGTAGACTGTCAATTAACATCCTGTTTATAAAGGACCTTGTTATATACCTCGACACATCTTGATTGTTGTTTTGATGTTGATGTGAATTCAGACAAGCTATAAGGGCTTCCAAGAGCTATCACTTTTGGTTTGCCAGTAATTGTATAAAAACTGTATTTAAAATATATATAATTTTTATATTGTTCTATGCGTCTCTATTTTTGAGGTTTTCTTCATGTTTTAATGACTTTGTGCAAACAATATTACAGTGATTTAGTGAAGATTCTTTGGGGAGAGAACATTTAAAGAGTTTATTTATTGAATTCTACAACCTAAGGTCAGAGGAGATTTTCTTGGTCTAACACAATGTTTCCCAGTCTGTTTTGTCTTTTAATCGACACTAAACCAGAAATTAGTTCCATCTAGGCTACATCCTATTACACTGAATATAATTTAGTTGTTTACACAATTGTTAGGCCCGGCCATTGAATTTAATTAGCCAAGCGGCATTTAAAGACAGAGCAGATTTCCTTGTTCTAGGGTGTTCTAACAAGTGTGCAGGGAAAGGGAAAAAAAGAAAAGCGGTGCCAAGTGATTACAGAACGCTTTGAGAGGGGAGCAGAAATCACATGTCTTTCAGTCTTGATGCTTTTGCCTTCTTTTGGAACTATTTTTGTTGAGAAAAACATACAAGCTAACCATCCAATTTTTTTGCCTGAAAAGTTACTCAATACCAACTTCTTGTTTTTTAGTTGTTGTATTTAAATCAGTAGGCCTATCACAATCATGTGGTTCTGAGTTTTAATAATAATAAAAGAGTTGACACTCCTAATATTAAATAACATTTTAAATAAGAAATAGTTGTACATGTTTAACAAAGCAATATCTTCCATAGTAACCACTGAAACCAGGTTAAGTTCTCCTTGGGGTACCCAGGTTAAAAAACACTACACTAACACGCACGCACGCGCACACGCATCAAGCATCGCAACATCCGCAGGTGAAAGAATACTTGTTATTGTTTGTAAGATACTCACATTTTTGCTCTGTGTATTAAGTGCTCAGCCTGATAGACACTAAGTTAATATAGTTCAGATCTCATCTTAAGTGTATTAGCCAGTGGATGGTTAAAATAGCCGTACCAAAGCCCACTTAACGGCGCAGAAGTGACGCACTGAGTCTAATTGATTGGTGACTGTCTTCCGTAAAATACAGTATTAATACCACACGGAGCACTAAATACGGATTTGCGAAAGGCGAGTTATGAAATCTCATGCGGCTTCTTCCAAAACATTTAGCATCTTTCAGTAAAAATCCATTACACACGCACACAACACATACAGTCCCAAATAGCATGCTGTGTCTCAAAACCGAGTGAGCTGCCTACCTAGTCAGCATGGATTCAAACGCGCTTAAGATATCCAAATATGCCGTATATGTAGGCAGGTCACTAGACTTAGCAAATGAGCCACTATTAGGAAGCAGAGCTGCACTCACATCTCTGAATTTGTCCCATCTCCCGGTCAACCATTTGTCGTCCAAAAAATTGCCGTTGTCGTTGCGGGCAGAAGCCCCGGCGATCAGCAGCGCACACACACCGACCAGCACAAGCATCTGCATCGATATAGATAAAGCTATCAACACACTACACTCGGATAAACACAACGACAGAAAAATACCGAATAACCGCTGCAATCATCCCTTATGCGTCACCTTCAAGAGGAGAATGTGAGCGCTGTCATTGACTGAAGATCTCCGTGACGAGACTCAACGACTCAACTGATCTTCACCAATCTCTCTCTCTCTCTCTCTCTCTCTCTCTCTCTCTCTCTCTCTCTCTCTCTCTCTCTCTCTCTCTCTCTCTCTCTCTCTCTCTCTCTCTCTCTCAAGCGTATGCTCGTGAAGGCGGACGTGGGCGCGCGCTATCTTCCCATTTAACATTGATTCTTTTATTTTTTTCCTATAGTTATGCGTAGCCTACATCTGAATTATAACTATTACACATTAAATGTATTAAATAAATACGTAAATAAATAATCAATATTCAACTTAAGTTTGCGCATTATAGCCTACTTTATTTGAACACAATTGCTCTGTGGGGCTAATCGTCTCATTTGTGCAGAGGTGACTAAACTCATGTCCAAAGATCAAACTTGATTGTGGGATGAAAGTAAATGCAGCAAATTCAAAAAATATTATATAATTTGTAAAAAAAAAAAAAAAAAAATCCCTTGTTCCTATGTATAGCCTACTGTATAAGTCAAGTCACCATTATTTATAGCGCTTTTTACAATACAGATGGTTTTAAAGCAGCTGATGATAGCTTACAGTGATATATAACAGGAAAATAATGCAACAAAGTTTGTTTCAGCTGTGCAACAGATCAAGAAGAAAATATTGTCATATTCCAGCTTAAGTGGAGTGACAGAAGCAGGTGACAGAATGGAGAAAAAACCTTGGGAAAAAACAGGCTTAGTCTGGGGCCAGTCCTCCTCTGCATGGCCAACAAACGAACAGTGTATGATTATGATTCAGGCAGCATTATAGGTCAGAAATCAAATTGGATCGGAACAGTCAGAATATTTATCCAGTTCCATCTGGTTAAAGATTGGAGTCATCATGCCGTGACGCCAGTATGGAGACGGGGTTGTTGAGGATCAGTACCACTGGCTGTCGTGTCGATGAGGCCTTTACAGGGGAGGGTTGAATATCTGCTGACACTTCAGGGATGCGCTGTGGTCGCAGGCCCTCCATCGATCTGGATACGGCTCGGGTCCGGCTGATTACATTATGCGTTGTGGTCATATGGCGCAGGTCCACCATCTGATCTGGATATGGCCCGGATCCGGCTGACTAGTTTATGGAGCCTACAATCATTTAACTGATTTGACTAATATAAATTAATAATGTTCTACGTGTATGCCAGGTTAAAGAGATTTGTTTTTAGTGTAGATTAAACTGACAGAGTCTACTTCTCTAACAATGCTAGGAAGACTCCAAAGTTTAGGTGCTAAATAGGCAGATGTGGACAAAGTACATAACTTCCTTACTTGAGTGAAAGTACAGATGCAGGTCAAATATTACTCAGTTACAAGTAAAAGTTGTAAAGACCGATAAGTAAAAGTACAGAAGTACTCGTTTTTAAAAGTACTTAAGTATCAAAAGTAAAAATGGCAATGCATTGTTTTATTATTGTTGCATTGTTGTATGTAATACTTACAGTACCTTATGCCTCTGAATCTATACCTGCCTACCTACACTCATATCAATATCAAATTTATTTCTAGAACACAGTTCCAGAAGTGGGATTGAATGTGAGATTGAATAAGTGCACTCAATAATGTCCACAATGGTTTCGGACACCCAAATGGCAGTTCCCTCAAATAGTGCCCTATTTAAAGTTTTTTGGCTTTTAGTAAGAATATGTTAGCCTTACTGTTCTCTATAAGCTATAGTGCTCCAAAACAATGCTAAAATTTCATTGAAAAAGGTTGATGTCAGGAATCCAACGTCAGATTGACGTTAATCTCCAACGTTGGACAGACATTGTACTGTGGTTGAAAATGAAAATCAGAATGACATTAGAAACCAACATCAGTCGGGTTCTGATGTCAACCCGACTTTTTTTTCTAACCAAAGTCCAACGTCTGTCTAACGTCGGGTTCTGGAGTCAACCCGACTTTCATTTCCAACCAAAGTCCAACGTCCGTCCGACAGTGGATGTTGACGTCATTTCCAACCAGAATGACAGAAATGTAGTGGAGTAAAAAGTACGATATTTGTCTTTCAAATGAAGTTAAAGTAAAAAGTTTCCAGAAAAAATAATACTCAATTATTTTTGATTTAAACTCAAGTATATGTATATTAGGAATATAAATCGTCTGCGTCCTGTCCTTTCACTCAAGAGTACTGCTTCGCTTGTGCATCCCCTTGTAACATCACGAATCCACTATTGTAATGCTTTGTTTTATGGGCTTCCTTCCAAAACTCTTCATAAATTACAGTTGGTACAAAATGCTGCAGCTCGAGTCATTACCAAAACTTCCATTTCTGAACATATTTCTCCTGTTTTACAAAATTTGCATTGGCTCCCAGTTGAATTCCTTGTAAATTTAATTTTTTTACTTTTAACTTACAAAACTTGGCTCCTTCATATCTTCTAGATCTTGTTCATATACATACTCCTTCCCACATTTTAAGATCGGCTTCTGCACTTACACTTGTTCTTCCACGCACTCGGACAACTTCCATGGGGTCACAAGATTTTGGTTATGCGGCTCCCCATTTATGAAACTCACTTCCTGTAGAAAAAAAAATCTCGTCTTAAACTTCTGTTTAGGCAGGCTTTTATGTGATTTAATTTTTGTTGCTGTACTGGTTTTATTGTTTAATGTCATTGCTTTTATGGATTTTGTAAGGTGTCCTTGAGTGCCATGAAAGGCGCCTATAAATAAAATGTATAATAATATTAATAATAAAAGTAAAGTACAGATACTCAAAAAGTGTACTTAAGTACAGTTCTCAAGTAGGCCTAAATGTACTTTGTTACTGTCCACCTCTGTAAATAGGAAAGGATCTACTACCAGCAGTTGATTTTGAAATAGGTATTCTCAACTGGCCAGAATTTTGAGATTGCAATAGACGTGAAGGACTAATCGTGTCAAGAGCTCACTTAAGTTCTGAGGAGTTAAAAAACTTAGTGATTGGTAAGTAATCAACAAGATTTTAAAATGTATGATGTTTAAAAGGGAACCAATGCAGTGTTGACAGAACTTCCTGGTTCTGGGAAGAACTCGCTGCCTCATTTTGGACCAGATGGAGTCTGAGGTCATGAACACATGAACTAACTGTTCCACATTTGTCATTAAAAACATATGTCGAAATTTAGATATATTTTTAAGATGACTTGACTTGACTTGACTAAAAAGTCTCACCTTAAAAGTCTTTAAATTATAAGAAAGACTACAAAAATGGCTATTGACAATTTACACCTATTGCCCAGGACAAAATATACAATTTGTTTTTACATCTTTTGTGTGACATTATGCTTGAATATTTGATCTATTATAGCAGTGACTTATTATATATGGCCTACTGAAATTCCAACTTTTGAACTGAAATTGAGCCAGATTCTTAAATTCTAAATTTTTCAGCTCAAATAGCACATGTCTTTGTATAGCATTAATGAATGAATATGTGGTTCAACAACAACAACAAAAATTAAGCTGCACTTTTCTGCTTTTTTTGTGTGTTCTTTTTTGCGGATGAGATGTAATGAGAGTGCCGTATATGGAATCATCAGCAAGCCACAGGATGCTGTCGATTTCGTGTCGTGTTTTTGTTAATCTTGATTTCTACCAACTTGTGTCCTTCGAGTCACACGAACGCACACATCGCGTAGCCATGCACCGAAGACCAAAGGCCAAGGTCATGATTTTCGTTAAATAATACATTAAATTTTATATCGTATACCCCCAGAACACTTTGAATATACTACACCTGTCACATGGGATCATTCTACTTTTGAGTCCTTTTTAGTCCATAAAAGAAAAAAAACATCATACTGTATTAGAACAACACTGAATTTATGAATTCATTTTCATTTTAAGTCAAAACAATCATTCAACAAGCTTGAGGATTTAGGCATGGAACTCCAAGTACAACATAAATTGGCACTGCAACCACATACAGTATCACACAAGCTGATGAAAAAATTCAGACCTTGAATTAAATGTCAGTTACTTTGGATGCAAGTGTGTGCCAGATGCATATGTAAATGTTTCCACTTAACATTATTTGAGCCACAAATATCTCTTTGCATTGTTTTTTATCCACTCATACCTCGGGATGCCCATCCAGAGGTATGTTATGGCCAGATCCACCTCGCCATTGTTCACCCACACCTGTGCCCCGTTTCCCATCACAGAGTCTCACTCAGCACTTGCTAAAATCAAATTCTCAGTCATGCCCCTCAAGGTCTGTTTTTGGAGCAGCATGTTAAAGCTTTACTTCATTGTTTCTTCAGCTCTAATTCCTTTTAGCATCCCCTACTGTGGGTTTTTTTTTTTCTAAAGAAGGAACAGCTATTAGTCCTTACTATTAATAGAACTTGTTTGTGGTTAATTGTGCAAATTAATAGGCATATTGAGTCATCTGTCAGTGTTCTTAAAATCTCATTAAATGGAGAAAAAAAGAGAGTCTTGGCTTAGTTGTAGGTTTAAGGTTTATTCCTTACAGTATCTTAGTATCCTTTCCTTGTTACTGATGTTGTCAGGCATTATTTTTAATTGATCTTTATGTTCTTTTTTATTTTTCTATTTTCTGTAAAGCTGCTTTGAAAAGAATTCAAATTCGAAATTTTTAATTTATCAAAAAATATTTATATATTATTTACCCTGGATTGGCATCACATTGAAGCACTTCTTATGGATCCTAAATCAGTCTAAAAATGGTTAAGAAACTGATGCAGACCTCTATGCAGCATACAGCCTTACATTTTCATAAGTCATAAGCTGTACAAGTTCTAGTCTTGAAATAAGCCTTGGGTCATAAGTCTGACTAAACATGCATTCACAATACACTTTCACAGAGTCAAACAATTTCTCTCTATCGCTGCTCAGTTTCACTATAGGCCTGTTTCACACATATAGCGTCTGTGGCATGTGATCAATGGATATTTGTTTCAGCACCCATATTAACAGGTTACGCAGCATTCCCACTGCACGTGTGAGCAGTGTTGCGCCTCAGAAGCCTCCCTGGCGTGCCACAAAAAATAGACTTTTGTGCTGTGCCTGTTTTTGCTGTTTGCCACACTGAACTCAGCAGGAAAA